AACATTGCCATCAACGGAAGCAAATCCGTCAATGTTTGCTACACGCTGAGGCGGAGAACGCCGCCAGCCGAGCTCTGGGAGGGAAACCCAGTGCCGCAGGCGAATCATGCCAAATATCTTGGAGTGAGGATATTCGGCTCTATTTATCAATTACTTGTATGAATGAGACATTCAATGGAATATACATTTATTTATAAATTATTATATTTTTTATAAAAATATTTCGACGACTGCCGAAGTCTTTTACTGAGTTCCGAGAATTGCAGTCGGGCCACCGTTTATCGCTGTTCTGCGTATATACCCTGCCATCTGCATCTGGCAGAATATTATGCGGTATGTCCGATTTCGGATTTGTGCGCCTAGCTGACTAGCGCAGTCTTTACAAGGCTAGAAATTGGCAGAGATGTCTAAAGATCTTTTCAAATTCCATTTCTTCAGTTCTAAGAAATATTTATTTAAATATTTTAATTGTTTGTGGAAATGTTATCAAAGAGCATTTATGTGTGCATATGTGTGTTTCGCTTTCTGTTCACATTCGTATTGATAAGTCATATAGCATATATGTATATACATATATATATATATATATATATATATGTATATACATAGTATAATTCGGCATACATATGTACATAAAAAGTGCACCACTAGGGACAGAAGTTCAGTAGCGCCTTGTGCTTCCGTTCGCAATGAACTTAGCTAGATTCAGTGTCGTGTTATACGTGGTGTTTTTTGTCGTATTTTCTAAAGCTGAAAAGTGTAAGCATATAATCAATTTATATATATAGTATACAGTAGAATTTGGTTATTATATAATATATATAATAATATATAATTTATGAAGATGAATCCTGCAAAAGACGCGATGGATTATCCGGAGGATGTGTTCCGATACGCAGCTGTCCAAAGATCTTTAATATCATCATTAGAATGAGTAAAAAAACTGCATCATCAGCTGATGTAATGTACTATTTGAATTCAGCATGTCAAGATGTCAAGGTACACATACATAAATTTTTACAATAAATTGATTGTTAATAAACTTAAAATTGCAAGTCCCGTCGACCAGGGAAATTAGTTTGCTGCCAGGAAATGAGCGAGGGCATGCAAATTTTAGACGCGCAGATCTGTGGTTACCTCTACAGCGAGCCGAAAACTTATGGTGGCCACGAATTGAGTATATTATCCAGGCCCTGGATGGCTTTACTAATGTTTAGGGAAGGCAACGTCGAACGTTTTAAATGTGGTGGCACCTTAATAACGGAACGTAAGTAACTCCCATATATAACGATTTATTGATATCTTTAGATTTTTAATTTAAACAACCTAGGGTTCGTGTTAACCGCTGCGCATTGCTTCAACGAAGGTGACCCGTAAGTGATGCCTATATATTATACATACATTTATATGTGTCTATGTATTAATGAGCAACACATTATTCTATAGACAATTTGTACGTTTGGGGGAATACAAAATATCGAATGAAACAGACTGCGGCATAGTAAAAGGAAAGTATGAGTGCGCACCACCAGTTGAGGACATAAAAATTGATAAGGTTATTAAGCACGAGAATTTCTCGAAGTTTACTGGCCTTAATGATATAGCATTGATCAAACTATCCAAGGAAGTAGTCAGGGACGAGAATGGAAAACTGAAAAGTAAGTTTTTAAATAAAAATTATTAAATGTTTGACAATTAGTTATTCCCGTTACTTAAAATAGATAATATTCGGCCAATATGCTTGCCGCTAAACGATACACTGCAGGAGTTGGCCGAAAATGAGGAAGAGTTTCTTGTAACTGGTTGGGGAAAAATGGAAACTGCAAACTTTTCTGATGTTATGTTAGAGACTAACATCAATAAAAAGACTCGCAAAGATTGCCGAAACATTTCATCATCCCAGTTGTGCGCTGGTGACTTGGGCTTTGACTCTTGCAGTGGCGATTCTGGCGGTCCCTTATTTTTGTTGACTGACATGTATAAAAATCTTCAAAGATTTGTGCAATTGGGAATAGTAAGCTATGGTGCCACACATTGCGCCAATGGCGAACCCGCCGTTTATACAAATGTTGCCAGCTATATTCACTGGATTGCCGATAATATTGCCCATAATTAGTAGCATGTAGCTTTCTATACATATACATACATACATATGTATGGAACTATACATATACATATATATACATATACTATACATATAAAGACATATAGTTGAAATGAACATCGTCATTTTAAGTTTCAGCACTAACCTTGGCGTCGCACTCATTTTATATCTTCCTTAAGTAGAATAAACTTATTAGAGCACAATAACACAATAAGAGTGATAATTATATTACAACAGCTTTAATGATTTCTACAGTTTGTTATAACACTAACTATGATTAGTGTTTAAACTAAATACCTTTCAGCGCATGAGTAACAATCGCAACTATAGAGTAAACATGGTGCACGATGATTTCGGTGGTAGCAGCAAGTGTAAAGTGTATGTATATGTACGGCATTTATGTGTGCATGTGTGTGATTCGCTTTCTGTTGAAATTCGGATTGATAAGTAATATAGCATATATATCGTATAATTCGGCATACACTTGCTGAATATATATATGTACATAAATACATAAAATGCACACCACTAGGGACAGAAGTTCAGTAGTGCCTTGTGCTTACATTCGCAATGAACTTAACTAGATTCCGTTTCTTGTTATACGTGGTGTCTGTTGTCGTATTTTCTAAAGCTGAAAAGTGTAAGCATATAATCAATTTATATATATAGTATACAGTAGAATTTGGTTATTATATAATATATATAATAATATATAATTTATGAAGATGAATCCTGCAAAAGACGCGATGGATTATCCGGAGGATGTGTTCCGATACGCAGCTGTCCAAAGATCTTTAATATCATCATTAGAATGAGTAAAAAAACTGCATCATTAGCTGATGTAATGTACTATTCGGATTCAAAATGTCAAGATGTCAAGGTACACATACATACATTAATTTTTTTTACAATAAATTGATTGTTAATAAACTTACAATTGCAAAAGACTCCTCAACCAGAGAAATTTGTTTGCTGCCAGGAAATGAGCGAGGGCATGCAAATTTTAGACGGGCAGATCTGTGGTGACCACTACAGCGAGCCGAAAACTTATGGTGGCCACGAATTGAGTATATTATCCAGACCCTGGATGGCTTTACTAATGTTTAGGGAAAATAACGTCGAACGCTTTAGATGTGCGGGCACCTTAATAACGGAACGTAAGTAACTCCCTTATTTGAAGATTTATTTATATCTTTGGATTTTTATTTTAAACAACCTAGGGTTCGTGTTAACCGCTGCGCATTGCTTCAACGAAGGCAAGCCGTAAGTAATGCCTATTTATTTTACGTACATGTGTCTATGTATTCATGAGCAATATATTGTCTATATTCTATAGACAATTTGTACGTTTGGGGGAGTACAAAATATCGAATGAAACTGACTGCGGCATACTAAAAGGAAAATATGTGTGCGCACCACCAGTTGAGGACATAAAAATTGATGAGATTATTAAGCACGAGAATTTCTCGCAACATACTGGTCTTAATGATATAGCATTGATCAAACTATCCGAAAAAGTGGTCAGGGACAGTAATGGAAAACTGAAAAGTAAGTTTTTAAATAAAAATTATTAAATGTTTGACAATTCCCGTTACTTAAAATAGATAATATTCGGCCAATATGCTTGCCGCTAAACGATACACTGCAGGAGTTGGCCGAAAATGAGGAAGAGTTTCTTGTAACTGGTTGGGGA